GGCCCGGCTACCCACTGCCACCCAGCCCTCCCCCTCTTCCCGGGACCAGGCTGGCGGTTCTATTTTTGAACACACGTGTTCTTTATTTTTTATATCAGGAAGGGGGGCTAGGGAGGGGTAAGTGGAAGGAGGTGAGAGAGGAATGGGGCATGAGCCCCCAATGGGGAGGACTGGGGTGGCTCTGCAGGCTCCTCAGGGTGGAAGCTCTCCTGCAGGGCCTCCTGGATCCTGAGAGCCCCCTGACTGACCCCACCGGATGGCAGCCTGCAGCAAGTGCAGCCGGGCTGATGGCCGAGTGCTGTGATGTGCCGAGTGTGGGCACTCAGAGCACTCCAAGACAGGACTGCTTTGCTGTCCCTCATCGAGTTAGACAAGGAAGCGGGGAACCCTGAGAACTGTCTGTCCGGGGTGGGAGTCGGGTCCCTTTAAGCGCAGCCCTCGGCTAGCCTGAGGCAGCAGCTCCACACTCTAAGTCCTAACCTGATGCCCTGCCGGCACTGCTTCCAGCCAGCCTTAACTTCGGTTCAGGGTCCACTCAGTGTGGACATGCTAGTTCGAATTAGCAAAACACTAATTTGAACTAGTTTTTAGGTCTAGATGCACTAATTCAAATTAGCTTATTTCAAATTAACTAATTTGAATTAAGTTAGTTTGAATTAGTGCTGTAGTGTAGACATACCCTCTGACGCCAAATGCCCAAAGATCTGGCAGGAAGCTGACAGGACGGGGGAAGGGTGTACTGCATGGAACACCCACTGAATTGTTGTTTACAGCTTCCACTCAATACGGTACAATGTAAATGTAAGTTTCAGTATAATGGGAATGCAAGTTTTGTAACCTTCCATTATGTGAGAAGGAGATCAGAAGGATCCTTGTGATTCAGCATGATCACACTGTTGTTCTTAGGAGTAATTAGAATACAGGTGGTGTTCTGTAAAGAAATATGATGAATGATTGAAAGTTTGTACTAGCAGAGGCTTTGTATTGGAAGTAGATTGATATCTTTTGTATGGACAATTGTATCCCTTTTCCCATGAGTGAAATGATTGTGTAGTTCCTGGGGTGGGGGTGGAGGGGTGAATGAGTGTACAATGTGACTATTCGGAGAGGTAACAACTTGTAGACCCAGCAGTTTCAGAGTCCATAGAAGGGGCTGGAAGACTCAGAGGCGTCAAGGCACCATAAATTGAGGCCCAAACAAAGCGTATCAATGTAGGACATTATGGACGGCCTTGGAGTGTTAAGGGCAAGCATCCCTTTACAAACAAGGCAGCCTTGAAATGACACTGGGAAGAAACCACCAACATACTGATGTCATAATAAAGCACACCTGCTAAATAAACAGATGTTAAACAGAATGGATGGCAAAGAACTGATGCAACAAAATGTATAGACTTGAATGTGAGAAAAGTCCTATAAAAGATGGGATGTCTTGCATGAATCTCCGGGTCTCATCTTGTTAAGGTTGGAGCATTGGTCTGGACCAAGAGAAGCCCCCATTCCTGGGCTTCAACTTGCCTGGCCAGTGAATTAATGTGAGCAACAGACTGGTAACTTTAAGCAAAAGCAAGACAGGGTTTGTTTGCTTATGAGTGAATGGTTGTGTGTGTGTGATCAGGTTAAATCCCTTTTCCATGTGATTCAACAGTGGCATTTAATACAAGCAATAAGTGTGTGTACCCTGGGCTGGTCTTTAGTGAAAATAAGGTAACATGAACCAGAGTGTCCCCCTGGCTCAACAGTGGTGCTTCCACAGATAAAATACGGAGAGTCACATTTGCTGGCAGTCGCCAACAGAGACACACTCAGGCTGGTCCTGGTCCTTTGCCGCCCAAACCTGATCACCACCTCCAGTTCCAAAGCAGAGAGAAATGCACTGAGGTATTTGATTGCTTTCCCTGCCAAAGGGGCAGCACCCTTCACCTCTCTGCAGGCTTTACAAGCAGACCCCCCTTCACTCTCACCTTCGCTCTCTGCGCCCTTCTTGGCAAAGTACGAGCACAGTCGGTCGAGCACGACGCTGTCGCTGGAGCCTGGGATCAAAACCTCCTCATCCAGGATCCAGAGCAAGCCGCACTGAGGTATTTGATTGCTTTCCCTGCCAAAGGGGCAGCACCCTTCACCTCTCTGCAGGCTTTACAAGCAGACCCCCCTTCACTCTCACCTTCGCTCTCTGCGCCCTTCTTGGCAAAGTACGAGCACAGTCGGTCGAGCACGACGCTGTCGCTGGAGCCTGGGATCAAAACCTCCTCATCCAGGATCCAGAGCAAGCCCTTGGGGTCTTCTGCCTGGCCCCCAGGCGGCACATGCAACTGGCAGAATGAAACAACCCATCAGAACAGGAATGCAAGCTCGGCCAGCTGTGCATGCTTCATGAGACTATGAAGATAAAGCTGCCTGGCTTACTCCTCACTTCTGCCACCACTGTCCCTCCCCCTACCTCTCCTCAGGGCTGCCGGTTCTGCAGGCAGCAGAGCAGCCCTGGGGTGATTACTTTTTCTGACGGGGGGGAAGGTTTTACATTCCGAGGCCAGAAGGTAGAGAATCCTCTTGATTTGAAGGTTGTCAGTACCCAGGACAGAGATGAATTAGTTTCATGCCATTTCCTTTGCTGAGTAACAGAATTAAATGACAAGGGAAAACTTTATGGCCAAGAACACGATGACAAGGAAAAACTTTAGGGCCAAGAACACGAAAGACTTCCTGGTTCCGACTCAGCCACCACTGTCTCTGCTATAACTCTCTTGCCTTTGCTGAAACTACTCATGTGTATCAGAGGCCCAAGGCCTGAAAGAGCTGTGGGACAGGCTCCCAGGGAGCAAACCTGAGTCCCTGAGTACAGTGAACCCTCGCTACTTCGCGGTTCGACTATCGCGGATTCACGACTTCGCGGACTTTTTTCATTACATTATGAATCCGCGATGGTCGAACCGCGAAGTAGCGGTTACCAAAACTTTAAAAAGCCTCCGGGGAAGCCGGCGGGGGGGCATCCCAGGCGCGCCTGGGCTGCTCCCCCGCCGGAGCCCCTCCGCGGCTTTCAAAGCCTCGGGGGAAGCCGGCGGGGGGGGCATCCCAGGCGCGCCTGGGCTGCTCCCCGCCGGAGCCCCTCCGTGGCTTTCAAAGCCTACTTCGCGGATTTTCACCTATCGCGGTAGGGTTTGGAACCTATCTACCGCGATAAACGAGGGTTCACTGTATATGTACAGTATTATGGGGGCTAATTTGGCTATGACAAATCAGGAAAGAGATCTTGGAGTTATAGTGGATAGTTCTCTGAAAACTTCCACACAGTGTGCAGCGGCGGTCAAAAAGGCAAATAGGATGCTAGGAATTATTAAGAAAGGGATAGAAAATACTACACAGAATATCTTACTGCCCCTGTATAAAACTATGGTATGCCCACATCTTGAATACTGTGTACAGATGTGGTCTCCTCACCTCAAAAAAGATATTTTGGCCTTGGAAAGGGTTCAGAAAAGGGCAACTAAAATTATTAGGGGTTTGGAATGGGTCCCATATGAGGAGAGGCTAAAGAGACTTTGACTTTTCAGTTTAGAAAAGAGGAGACTGAGGGGGGATATGATAGAGGT